CATAAACACAGATGCTTGTGGAGACCAAAAGAGAATGTCAGGTTCCTTGAAATTAGAGTTGCTGGCAGTGATGAACCCCCTGACCTGAGTGCTAAGGAGCCTAACTTATATCCTCTGCAAAAGCATTAAGCACTCTTTTTTATTTTATTTATGTTTTTTTCCCCTGAGACAGGGTTTCTCTGTACCAGCCCTGGCTGCCTTGAAACTCACTCTGTAGACCAGGCTGGCCTCAAACTCACAGAGCTCTATCTGCCTCTGCCTCCTGAGTGCAGGGATTAAAGGCGTGCAAACAAACATCAGGACTTTATGAGCTCATGTGCAGAGACTCCAGTCACTCTGTTTAGGATCCTCATAATTAATGTTCACTCTCTGACTGCACACACAGAAAATAAAGCTATAGACACAGACATAAAATAAGCAAAGAAGCTGAGGAAATGTCAAAGCACTTGCTACACAAATATGAGGACCAGAGTTTAGATCCCAGCACCCACATAAACGCTGGGTGGGAGGGAGGGGCAGCACACCTGTAATCTCAGAGCTCAGAAGACACAGGAGAGCCTCAGAGCAAGCTGGCTAGCTAGATTAGCCGGCGAGCTCTGGAATCATCTCAGAAACCCTGCCTCGACAAATAAGATGGAGAGCAATAGGGGAAGACTCTGGATGTCAGCCTCAAGTCTACATGTACACACACAGGTGTATGTGCACTTGAACACGTGAGCACCCACATGCATTTAAACAAGCATATGCATACACCCCATGCAGAGACATGTGGAAATAAGTCAAACAAAGTTTGGCTAAAGTGCCTATCAAGCATGGGTTTATCCCAGAAGAAATTAGCACACTGAAAACAAAAATACATCACCAATATGAAGGGTGCACTGAATGGCATCCACAGTATCAGATTTGCATCATAACTGTGGAAATTCCCTAGTTCATGGTACAGTTGAAGAAATCCCCTTTCCTCTTCCACATGTTTAGAGTCACAAAAAAAAAAATCAACTAGAAAATATTGAGCATGTCCTTCATGTTGGAGACTTTGAAAGCTTCTCTAATCCCAATGAGACAATCTTTCTTGTTTTCAATTTCTTCATAATTTAATTATACATATTCAAAGTAGTTAAAAATAATTCTATTGTTGTCATTTGGTTATACTGGAGGCATCCCGACAATTATATAAATGTGCTCTTTGAGGGAAGGGTGGGTGTGTCAGGACTGAACCCAGGAGCCTCACATGAGCTCGGCATGTGCTTTCCCACTCAGCTATAGCCATTGCCCCCTTTGGAGTGATTTATGAGAGAGGAGAAGAGATGAGAACGCTCGCAAGTTCTGCTGCAGATAAGCATCCCTTGAGTGCCTGGGTGGGCCAGTCATGGAGAGTAGAAAGTGATGTTTAGGCACTATTATGGGAAGAGTTATATCCTCCCAAATGTTTCTGTTGAAATTCTAACTTCAGTACTTCAGAACAGGACTGTGTTTAGTAAGAGAGCCATAGTCAAAGTACAGAGAATAAGTGTCATTGGAGTGCTCAGAGACCATCATGGAAAGGGAGCGGGGGAGGCTGAAAGATTATAAAAGCCAGAGGTCAGGGATGACAGGATCAAAACTATCTTCTGCACGTGACAGAACTGTTGAACTCATGAATTCATAACATCTGTGGTTACCCATTGTTTTTTACTCTTTACTCTGTTGGCTCTTTGGGGGGCCCACCACCCAACTCCCAAATAAGTCACACACGAAGGTTTATTTTTAATTATAAATGCCCGGCCTTAGCTTGGCTTTTTTTGCCAGCTTTTCTTAACTTTAAATTATCCCATCTATCTTTTGCTTCTGGGCTGTTTTCCTTTTCTTACTTCTGTAATCTTACTTGCACTCCTACTCTGTGGCTGGCTCCTGGCTTCCTCCTCTGCTTGTTCTCTTGCTCTTCTTTTCCTCCCAGATTTCTCCTTCTATTAATCCTCTCTACCTGCCAGCCCCACCTATCATTTCTCCTGCCTCACTACTGACCATCGGGTGTTTTTAGACAGGCAAAGTAACACAGCTTCGCAGAGTTAAACAAATGCAACATAAAAGAATACAACACATCTTTGCATCATGAAACAAATGTTCCACAGCATAAACAAATGTAACACATCTTAAAATAATATTCTCCAGCAGTTGCTTGTACCAAGATTTGTACAAGATTAAGACAGTCAGCATTCTAGCACAGAGTGAGAAGGAGTCCCACCCCTAACTGAGGAGCTATGGACAATGGATGGCTTCCTAGGAAGGTAGAGTCAGTTTTGTTTAGGCATGTGCCTCCTGGTATGTTGAACACAGCTCAGTGGATGGCCCTACAGCTAGGAGTACACAAGCAGCAAAAAATGGAGTTGGTGAACTGTTGTTTTTTTCAAAGACACAGAGTTGGGGAGTAAGGAATGAGGGCAGATCTGGAAGGGATTAAGCAAAAGACTTGATCAAAATAAATTATATGAGAGACTGGAGAGATATCTCAGGGGTGAATAGCACCAGTTGCTCTTGCATAAGACCTGGGTTTGGTTCCCAGAACCCACAGAGAAGCTCACAACCATCTTTAATTCCAGTTTCAGGGGATCTGACTCCCTCTTCTGACCATCACAGTCACCAGGCAAACACATGCACATACATGTGCACATATGCAGGCAAAACACCCATACACATGAATAATTCTAAAAATAATAATAATTTAAAACTAAGTCATATGGAATTATTGAATAATTAATAACACATTTTGAAAACAGAGTTATTGCTATGAGGTAAAATCCATGATAAACTTTTTTAGTTATTTACTGTTGTTATAATAGCAATGATTTGGTAAATTTCATTTTAAAAGAAATACATATATCTTTCATCAGTTGAAACTCAATTTATTGAATATTAAACTGTATTACATCTGAATTTTGACTTGCAAAGGAAAAAGCCAACTTGGATCCAATGAGAGTGTTATCCTCCCCACATTTATATTCTATATGTATCGCTGTCTCTTTTTAGTAGTTCAAATATATGCTTTTGTGAATACTAGGATTGTATTCTGAAGGGAAATTCAAAGAGATTTTATAAATGAACCTAAAGTGTATATGATAACAGTAACTACAAATACAAAAGTACACAGAGGTTACAGTGTATTTGAGGAACAATTTTCTAAAATGATGCCCTAGACTCTCCCCCAAGAATGAACCTCAAAACCAGACTTAATCACAAAAGCATCCAGTAAACATTTAGCAACCTGCAAAGAAAGGACACACAAGGTGAACAGAAAAGATAGCTTTCCACTTCCCGTAGGCCTTACCAAGGAGGCAGCTTCCACCGAGAGCTCAGGTGCACCTACCTGCCTGGTCTCCACAGCACGTGGGCACAGGCCCAGCAAACCCAGCAGGGACTCCCAGCCTGCAATCAGGGCAAGAGTTTCCCCACAGAGGACCTCACAAGGGCAGAGGCATTTCTGACAGCAGGGAGTGAGCCAAAAATGAACCTCAGCCATTCTTCCCGCTGGAGAGGAGGGCATAGAAACTTTACCACAGAGAACAGCTGCTCCAAAAGCTGTACTGGGTGTTAATCAAGCCATCTGTGGTCTGCAGGAAGAGGCTTGGATCAAAAAAAACCTTAACTTCCCCCGAAGGCCCTGTTTCCACCTTGATTTAAGGATTCTCCTTGATAGCAATCTGCTGTCCTCGTCAGTGCAGGGCCCAAAGCACAGGTCCTGCCGCTCTTCCAGTTCACAGGGGTAGCCCCTCAAGGAGAAAGGCTCCCCGGGCAGGAGACACAGCTTTATTTTTACCCAGTTAAAGTCCCTATCCAATCCATTAACAGCTGCAATAACCTTGGTCCAGGGCATTTCCTGGTGAAGCTATAGCCAGGTGGGGTTAATGAACTCTCCCTACTATCAATTCCTGGGAGAGGCCATTGGCCTGAATTGTTACTTAATTACTCTTCTGTGAACAGCTTCATAAAGCAATGAGATGCCTTCTTTCAGGAGATGGTAATGGGGGTCATCAGAGGCCATTAATTTTACAAATAGTTTGCTAGAAACTTCAGTATGTTAAGAAGTTGGTCTGGCTCACAAATCACCTCCATGTGGTCTTCTCTGAGACCTGAAGCTTGACAGGTGTCTGTGACTGACACCTGGAAGTTACCAGCTGTGAAGAACTGGCAGACACACACACACACACATTCCCATATAGAGAATGCATATTCTTTGTTTTCTGTGAGTGCTTTTCCCTTAAAGCTTGCAAGAGAAGACTCCAATTGTGGAGCTCATTCAAGACAATCAGGGGCATTGTCAGCGTTAAAATCTCTTGTAATTTCTGTCTTGGGGGTGGGTTCTTAGTCTCTAAAGCGCAGACCACAGAAAGCTTGGATGGATCCACGAACCTCTGCAGGCAAAACTGGTTTTTGGTGCCCCTTGCTGGTATGGCTGGATCTGCTGGACACTGCATTTATCTCAGCACACCCCAAGTTCTCCCCATGTCCATCAAGCCTCTTCACACACTGCTTTCAAACATGAGGCGGCTCCGGGGCTCTCTCTGCACCACCCAATTGTAAAATCCGCCCTTTGCCACACACACACACACACACACACACACACACACACACACGCCACTACCCTCAGAATGTAAACTTTTTCCCAAGGCCAAGTGCTTTGGATTGTCCTGTTCACTCTTAAAGACACTGGTGCTTTTACTTTTTAATACCCATTGGATGAATGGGTCATTTGTTGGGCACATGATAGCATCACTGTGGCCACAAGAGCAAATTTCCCATCTTCTTGACACTTGGGCAGGAAGAAAGCCCTATTTACTGGAGAGACATAGTGAGGACGACTCTCCCTTTTTACTGCCTAGAAACAAGATACCCTGAAGCTTGTCCCTGCTTAGGGCAGACTTAGCCATAAAGAGGTTCTGACTTGGTCATCGGCACCACTGTGACATGCTGCCCTGACCTTCCTATGTCAATTGTGGAGTCATAACCCCGTGGAAGGATGTGACATTCTATTGGAGGGCTCCAGGGGGAAGAGATGAGAGTCTTCAGAAGCTAATTGACTAGGGCAGGATCAGGAAGCCAAAGCACATCCGTAGAAGGGAGGTAAAGTTTGTAGAAGAAGCTAGAGGGCAGAGAGGGCCGCAGAGTTTCCTTCGACTTCATTTTCTGATCCCTGATTAATATTGACACGCTTCCCATCAAGCTTGCAGTGGCCGGGGACTAGGGAACAACCGTGACTTTCCAGGGTGGTGATACGCATACATCCGTGCCCTGAGACCTTTAGGAAAGCCGCAGGTCATAAAGAAAGAAGACTTAAGAAAAACTGATGACCTCTGTTTCTTCCTAGTGCTTTGTCTGGGTTTCCAAATCCAGTTATTATGGCAAACAACCTCTAGGTGTTTGCTTGTGAGACCTCTTATGGAATTTTCCAGCAGGCCTCTGCACCCTCACTTGATGCAGAGTCAGATGAGGAGCAGAAAAAGCTGGGATTTTTGTCATATCCAACTCAGGGGCTCTGAAGGGAGAAAACCAGTTCATTGACTTTCTGTTGGGGAGACTGCTGGACCCACTTCTGCAGTTGGTAACCGTATCTCTGCTAACATTTCAGGCGTCTACAATGGAAGAACAGAAGGAAAATGAGCTAGATTACGAGTAAGTAACAGCGACTACGAAAGGCGGCATCCAGGCACCAGGTGTGAGGCAGGTCGCTGGCCATACCTTCTCTAATCTCCCAGTCACCTCTCCCTCCTCTCCCCTGCACCCATCTCCCAAGCCCTTCACTCCTACAGGAAGTGGTAACTACTGTAAATACACCACCCAAGCCAGCCCTTCCAACATAGGACTCCATTTTCCAATATCATGCTTCATGTCACTCAAAACGAAATCCCCGGGGCCATGCTAGCCTATTCCCAGTTAAGAACTCCAAAGGATTATTTTACATGCTAGAAAAAGTTTAGTGTGAGCCTCCCTTGATGTAGGTACTCTTCCTAAAGTTATCATTTCACTCACAGTTTTTTCAAAACAGATGTTTGTGCTGTTGAATGATGTTCCTGAAATATTTGTACTCACTGAAATGGCCCTCATATGAGAATCTCACACATTATAATCAGAAATCAAAGGGAAGGGGAAGCAAGGATGGAAAGACTGAAGCCCTATCATGGTGGTAGAGACTTCTGTCTCTGAATGAAGCAAACTCAGAAGTGATGGAGCAGGTGCCTAGACAAAAATAGTCAATAAAAGTGTATTGCATAAGCATGTTTGGAGAACAATTTAGGAAAAGGTTGCCATGGGAAACAGTTCTCTCCAGTACAAGGCTATTTAAGGAAGTGAAGCTTCTCTTGAAATCAGACTGGAGATGCATCTCAAGATGTCCCCTGCTGGGTTGAGAATTACTAAGACATTGTAGGGTGTGATTCAGATGTATGAATATCCAGGAATGAAAATAGAAAAGCAAGCGTGCTCCCAGGAAGAGCACAGCGGATGAATTACTTATTTTCTAGAAAGCCCACTTGGTCCACTGATCTTTGCTCTTGAGATAACCACCCTTGTTTGTTTGGGGGGCTGAGCCTATAGGTCAGAAAAAATGGAAATCTTAAGATTGGCCCAATCAAAGAAGAACATTATGAGTTTGAACATGGACCTTGAAAGAGATATGCAGAGAATAGATGAAGCCAACCAGGAGCTTCTTCTCAAAATACAAGAAAAAGAAAATGAAATCCAGAGGTAAGTCTAGGTTTCATGATGGAAGTTTTCAACCTGAAAGAAGAGTGGTGGGGGAGACAGACAAAACCCCTCAATTTTCCTACTTTCTCTAGAGAACTCTATCTCATGTAGCAAACAACTATCCTTCACTCTGATATTTTTCCCTAAGACATTCAAACACAGCAAGCTTAAAAATATTTTACTCAAAAGACTAGGCAGATCTTTCCTTGAGCTGAAGAACACCAGAGTGTTTGGCCTGGGATAAGGCAGTCCTTTCTTTATATGGCTTGGAAATGACCTGAGTCTATGGACCTGGGAAAGAAGAGTTTCTAACTTGAGATGCACAGGTAGTCATCAAGCCCTGAATTTTATCACTTCTGAACCTGGCCATCATGGGTCCTTCTGGTTTACACTTGCATCATTCAGGCTGGAAAGTGAGATCACCCAGACTGGTGACCCTGCAGAAGATGAGGATTGGGAGAAGGAAAACTGCGCTGTGATGGAGAGAGAGAGGGCTCTGCGGGAGCTGGAGGAAGAAACAACCAGACTCGTAAGTACGATACCGGGGAAAGCGAGTCCATGGGCTTCTTCCTGGCCTCACCCTAGAGCACAACCCCTTCAACTAAGCCAGTCGTTGTCAATCTTAATTGGATAAGATCTTTAATCCCACATAGCTGAAATATCATTTCAATATAAAGTCAACATAAGCATGTAATTAGCATATCCAGAGGTAAGTCTAGGTTTACCTCATTCTTTTTTAAATGATTTTGAGATTATAATTACGTCATTTCCCTCTTCCTTTCCTCCCTTCAAACCCTCTCATGTACTCCACTCTGCTCTTTTTCAAATTCATTGCCTCTTTTTTCATTAATTGTTGTTACACGCATGTGTGCATATTACTAAATATATAAATATAACCTGTTCAGTCTCTATCTTGTTACTTGTATGTATTTTTTCAGGGCTGACCATTTGGTATTGGATGACTAATTAGTGTGTTCTTCTCTGGGTGAGACTGTTTCTCTCCAGTATTTCTTAGTTGACTGTACTATTGTGTAGGGTTGAGGCCCTCATTGACCTTAGTGTATCTATTGGTGTCATCCTTCTTCAAGTCACGTTTAGGTATCTATGTGGATGAGTCATTATGGGTGTAGCTTCTGACATTTCTAAGAGACATAACCTCACATGAAATTCCCTGTTCCTATGGCTATTGTAATTTTTCCTCTTCCTCTTTGGCGAGATCCCTGAACCTTAGGGGCAGGAGTTGTATTAAAGATATATCAGATGGGACTAGGTCCAAGTCTGCATTTTGGTCGGTTGTGGGTTTTTTGTAATGTTGTCTGTTGCAAAGAGAAGTTTCCTTGATAAAAGGTGAGGACTATACTTGTCTGTGGGTATAAAGAGAAGCATTTAAAATATGATTGTGCTGGTGTAGTAAAGTGGTGGTAGGTTCTCCTCCAGGATCCAAGACTTCACTGGCCCTGGGTGGTTGGCTAGGTTTCAGTACCTGGTATGATTTCCCTCTTGTTGAGCAGGTCTTACGTCCAATTAGAGAGCTGTTGGTTGCCATAAAGGTGTGAATGCCACTATTGTATCCTTAGGGTTATCATGCCATGTTGATTGGTATTATGATTCATGGGAGGCACAGATGGATAGGACTGTTGGTTGCTTCCCTCATTTGGAAGATTCCATGGAGCGTTCTGGTGCCATGAAACCTAGTCCTAGAAAGGAGGCTTTAAGCTAATCTTGTTTACATACAAAGACTATGTCCATGCATGGGAGGGAATTGGGGAGAATAAGGTTTTTCAGGTAATATTTAGTACCAGGAGCATAAATATCTATATTCCTCATCTGCTGCTGATTGTTTCACCTGTGAATTAATTTCAAGATCTACTTACATTGTACAAATAAGTTCAAACTTCTGTAAGAAAAAACTATCTGGTGAAATGGGAAATACCAACTGAATAAGAGTAGATGATGTTGCCTGGTGTTGGTGGCACAAGCCCTTAATCTCAGCACTCGCGAGGCAGAGGAAGGTGGATCTTTGTGAGTTCAAGGCCAGCCTGATCTACAGAGCGAAATCCAGGAAAAGGCGCAAAGCTACACAGAGAAACCCTGTCTCAGGGAAAAAAAAAAGATGATGTTACCATGATTCAAACTTACACTCTGGTCCTTTCTCTCTCTAGGAGAAGAAGAACGAGGCTTTGGTCCACAGTATCTCAGAACTTCAGAGAAAGGTAGGATGGGACTCTATGTTCCTCAGTGCCTCCACAGCATCATGGTTCCCAAAGAGGCAAGATAAGGAAAGTAGATTCGGGTGTCAAAAGGCCTTAGTTTGCCATGGATCCCTCTCTCTGACCCACTCTCCTGAGGCTAAGGCTCATGTCAAAAATCCGTGAATATTCTCTGTAAGTGTGGAGTGGAAGGAGTAGTGGATGGGGTGTTTAATGATCTCACTAGCTCTCCATTCTATCACAAGAAAACAGATTCTACTAGGTACTCCGTAACAGTGCTTAACCAGAACCTTAATGAGAAGTTAACCTTACCTTCAACGGAGACTATAGCACACACAACTACCCTTAATCCCTAAAGATTTCCTCTTGCACCCACCTCCACATTACAGAGAACTTAACACGGATACCCTTTCTGACTCATCCTGAAGCTCTATGTAGTCCATCTTGAAATGGGGCTTGGGAGGAGTACTTGCTGACCCTAACTAGGTCACAAGACAAGTAGACATGGGTAGAGCAAAGATGGATCCACAGGACACCAAGTATCTTTCAAGGCTGTCTCCTCGAAGCTTTCATATAGCTCTGACTCTTAACCTATACACACCAGAGGATATCTTTTCTCTCTGATTGTTTTTAATAACAGTAGTAGTAGTAGCAGCAGCAGCAGCAGCAGTAGTACTTATGTTTGTATTTGAAATGTGCTTTTTATTTGAAACTGTAGCTTACAAGGAAATCACAAAAGATAGTCAGATGTGAACAAGGTGATCTGGAAATAACCCCAGAAGAGTCAAAGGTAAGTGCTCAAGCAATCTTGGGTGGGTTTGAACCGCATGGCCAGGAAAATGGCTGTCAAGCTAGACATGGTCATCGAAGTCACTGCAAATTCTTGGTGCTTTGGCCTGTATCCGACTTAACATAGCCAGAGCCACTGAGGTCTTGGTCTCACTCTGTAACTAAAGTTTTCCTGGTTCTGTTCAGCTCCTACAGCCCTGCAGCTGGCTGCTTGGACCCAAGTAGACACACAGAGACTTATATTACTTATAAACTGTATGGCCGTGGTAGACTTCTTGCTTATGTTTTATGTCTTAAATTAACCCATTTATATAAATCTATACCTTGCCATGTGGCTCATGGCTTACCGGTATCTTTACATGTTGCTTCTCCTGGCGGCAGCTGGCGGCGGCTCCTGACTCAGCCTTCCACTTCCTAGAATTCTCCTCTCTCCTTATCTTGCCTACACTATACTTCCTTCCTGGCTACTGGCCAATCAGTGTTTTATCTATCAATTAATCAGAGCAACACATTTACAGCATCCCCAGCATTGCTCCTCTGTCCTTACTCCGGAATTTCTCTCTGCAGCAGATTTTATTCTGTCTACTGTTTGGAAGAACAGAGCATATGCGAGTACAAATTCTTGAGGGAGTGAAGTCCCTCATTTAAACCCTGGCTCTAGCGCTTAATCTGATGTGTGTCATTAGGCTATTTCATCATGCTCTCACAGTCTCATCTTGAGGAACAAATGAGATTGTGTATATGGAATATTTTTTCATCTTTGTGTTATCTGTCCACAGAGTTATCTAATAATGTTCATGTTGTTACTTAGAATTCTGGCTGAGGTGACACATAGAAGCCAACCTAGGATCTATATGTCTATTGTCATCTGAAGGTCAAGTAAGGTGTATTTATTGATTGCAATCCAAAAAGGATTTGCTCACTTAGTCCCTAAACTATTTAATGATCTCTATTTTCTAAACACACTATGAACATGAAGCATTTCTTTCATTATGTTCCAGATCTAAGGATCCAAAGCAAACTACAACCTATCTAATCAAAAGTGCAAGAATTAGAGACATTTTTTTAAATTATTTTTTATTTTATTTTATTTTATTTTA